TCATGATAAAATGGTGGAAAGGAAAATGGTGACCGGACAAGGATATGGTTTGGGTACTGGTCGGTGTAAAGAGTTATGTCCTGCGGCCAACAGGGCATAGCTCGGTTACACTTTTTCTCTGCCTGTGTAAATTAAGGACCGATCGTTGCATAAGGCATCGTGGGTAAGTCACAGATTTATCATCCTGAGCACATACTTGGGTATGGGCGCAGGGAAGACTCGCTGCTCTCTTGTTATGGATCCGGCTCTTTCCGAACCGACTGATTGGAGGCGGGGATGGTGGAGGTCCTTGCACCGCACTGAGTCCGGAACTCAGGAGTGGGGGCTTGGAGTCCAAGTTTGGACGAGGACCTGGGCACACAGGACAGGAGGGTGATGGGTTAGTCCTGCTCGTGCCTTGGGTGCAAGCGGGGCATGTGTTTTTGGGGTACCCAGCTGGGGGCATTGATTCGCGAATCGCCGGGCGATACAGTATGACTTGTTTCGTGTCTAGCACCATAGTAAGAACTGAAAGATGAAATGTGATGAAATGGAACTGCTTGCTCAACTCTTGCTTGAAAGTAGAACATGTGCTTATATAGACTGGATAGATAATAACTTAATACGGCTGATAATAATAACATAAATAAGGACTCACTATTAGTATTGCTTTCTGCTAAAAGAAAATCAGCAAACCATAAAGTTTATCATATTTCTTGGAGTCGGAAAATTATTTCAACTAGTCGGATAAGTCTTGCGAGTACATTGTGTACTCAGGGTTTATTTACCCCTGTTGCAGGTGATGCATGAGAAGTACCTTTGTGTGGAGGATTCTTCTGGTGGGCTCAGACGGATCCTCGTTCTTACCGCTAGATGTTTATTTTAAATTCCGCTGTTTATCATTCCGCACTCTGACATTTGGTAATATAATAATGTAATTTTTAAGAAACTCTGATGTATGAAATGGACAAGTTTTGTAACTCGTTCTTATTATTGGATCCTTGGAAAAAATGTGGATCTTTCGGGTTCTCTCTTGGGGTGTGCCCGACGGATATCGCCCGCTGTAGCTTGCTTTCGGGGTGTTTTGTGTCTGGCGGAAGACGAGCACCTCCGTAAGCGTGTTATTTCGGGTGGTTCTGCCACAGTTAGAGTTAGCCCTACTGTTCATCTTCCCCGTCTGTCTTCGCGGGTTAAGGTTAGGGTTCGAGTTGTTATCGAAACCGAGACCCCCTTTGATGTTCTTTTCTTCACCCCGATTAGGGTTAGGGTTCTCATCGAACCCTTTTGCTTAGATCCGAGTCGGATCTCTCACCTCCTTCTAATTGCTGCTACCTCAAACTAGATCTACAAACTAGCAACCATGGCTTTGATACAATTGATAGAATCAAAAACACTTCTAGGCGTAGATCAGTAAGTAGAACTTAGCTTAATGGCAGACTTGGTGATGTACCTCGCCCTAAGGCAGTTGTGGCCATGGCGCCGCGGCGACGTGGCCGTCGGTGTCGTAGCAGTGCAGGCGCGGTGCAATGACGGCGGTCGAAGACGATGGCGCTTTCCGTCGCTCACAGCGCCCCTTTAGATCGGACTAGAGTTAGAAACTTCGAGGTGGGACTGGCGGCTACCGGTGATCCTCGTACCTTGTGCCCCAGGCCCCACTGTCCTTTTATGACGCTGCACGATGGGAGCACATCAGCCTGTAGAAAGGCTGAGCGCCCCCGATCAAGACGTAGATCAAGGATCTTAATTGGTGAAGATCAACCTAACACCCCTCTCCTATTTTGCATTCAGAAAGAAAAATCATAGCCGAACTGTCTGCGTTTCACTACGCGGTTATTGCAAAAAAAAAAAAAAGAATCCTATCGATAACTGAAATGGCAGACAAGCAGGTGGTCCTTATTGACACTGTAGCCACTGAACTTTATTATGACCTATCGGCAAACGATGGCCTGATAGGCCTCTATCCGCTACCAGAAGGCCGATAGCACTATTGTTCCTACTGCTAGATCTCTTGTTGTTACTTTGATGTTTTATTAAAAATAGCAAATATACCTCTGCGTTGCAGCGGTAAAAAACTATCTAATGTTAATGGAAAAATATAATCTTAATAGAATTTTTTTTCTTTAGTCGTAAGGCACAAAAAATGTACTCATAATGATATTAACATTAATTTCATACTATCCAAGTGTTTATAGAGTTAGATATCGAGTTCCGTGACTTAAGTCAGCAAGGAGGTAGTTGTCATTGTGTCAAGAATTGGTTTGCCCGTTGATGGTTTTAGACCTCTCTTGATTTCGACATGGCAGGCCTCGTCGAGGATTACAAATACATTTTGGACATATATTTTTGATTAGATTGAATGATAATTAAGCTACTCTGCTGATTTAGGTTCTAATAGTAGTTATTCCTAATCAAAATCATATCAATAATTTAATGGTGAAAATATTTATTTATTAAGAATAAGGAAGGGTCAAGGGTTCAAAGATTTATAATAACTATATTTTTTTTGTTTTTTATGTTTATCTTTCTTTATATAAGAAAAATGGGGTTAAAGACACTCATCATCCATCACAAAAGGAAAAAAACAAGAAAAAACAAACAAAAAATAGCCACAGACAGACATCCAATGGGAAAAAAAGACCAGGGAGAAATAGGAGACAATCACGGACGGACGCAGGCAACAAAAATCGACGAGAAATGGACGGAAGACCGAAAGAAAAAGGAAAGTAAAAAAGGACACGGGAAAAATAAACGCTAGGGAGAAAAAAGGAGACAGGAAAAAATCGGACATGTAATAGATGACCGAGTCACCGTTGGGCTGGACAAAAAAAGTACAAAAGAAATTTTGGTTTAGGTATAAAATGAAAAAATTGAGAGGCATAGATACGTAGGATGTGATCTAATACGTATTGGAATCGGATTCAAAAATTGGAAGGTATAGATACGTAGGATGTGATATACGTATTGAAATCGGACTCTACATATCATCTCTAGACACCATCTATTCAAACTTCTATGAGCACCTGTCATATAAGTCCGGACAAAAAAAACTCTTCATTACCTAGTAGTTAGGGAATGATGGATAAAAAAAATGGCCGGAAATTTTACCTATTTATTATTAGGTATAGATTTTATTCTTCTCAATTCGAAACCGTGGATCTATAAACTTCTAAATATAATGTAAATTTTTAATTTGATGCAAAAAGCCAAGCACGACTCATTTTGCCGGAATTTTGCGTCATAGATTCTGCAATTTTGTCATTAACATTCCTTTTGTAATGCTATGTTTGAGTTTTTGGATAATTTGTATATAAAGCCTTTAATTTGTAATGCGGCTGCTGTGCAAGAGAGGCGGCGGCTGCACTAGCGGGAGGCCGCGGCGTTTGCATGACACAGTGGGAGTAGGATGCTGTAAGCCATGGCAGATTTTGGCGTGGCTACGTGGAATCGTGGATCCACATCGGCAGGGAGGTTGGGAGGGGATAGCAACGAGCCACCAGTTCTCAATGCAACGTCAATGGCTTCTTCCGGTATCGAATGCGTGAGGACTCAGTTTCATGGTCTAGAAATTGTTTCTTCTTTTTTTTTTCTTTCTCTCTATTCATTAAATTTACTGTCACAGCAGCAAAGTATTTACATGCCAGAACTACTATAGTTTCAGTATGTGAATGCTCTAAAGAGGTTACAGATGTTGCATTAAATTTGCAGAGCTAATTGCACTCCTCTTGAGCCATTTGCAGCCTGTTCGCTTGCTCGTAAACGATCGTAAATTTCCAGCCGGGAACAGTGTTTTTCTCTCACACCAAACCAGCCAGCAGTAAATAATCCACGATACGATACGGCCTCCCGAACAGGTTGTTGGTCCTTGCACCAATTATAGACAAAGTTTGATTTCAATATTATTGTAAGAAATGATGCAAATTGTACATTCAGTTGCAACGTATGAGTATGCCTGCCAGTAATAAACAATAAAACAAGCATGCAGTGGCGAAGCTAGATACACGGTTGTGGGTGCCAATGCACCCACGAAAATTTTGAATACTAGTGAATACACGGTTCAAAGGAGAAAAACGTAATCAGCAACACCTTGTTTTTTTTTTTGCTATACACTAAAAAATTTAGGATAGGCCGTACCATCTTTTACAAGGGTGTCCTTTTTTTAATATGAAATATACTACCGTTAAAGAAATATATGAAATATACACCGCCAATGTCTTGATTCGAGTCTGTAGGAGGATTCCTGTTTCTCTCCTATTATTGTCAAAGCCTGCGCTGCGTTGGTCAAATTACACTAGCAGCCGTGGAACCCCGCAACCGCCACTGTCACATCATTTGTAATCAGATATTTCCTCCCTCTATAAAAGAACACAATTCTAATATAACACTGAATCAAACAATATAAATTTAAGCAAATGTATAAAAATATTAATATTTTATGATAGAACTATCATCATGACAATAAAGTATTCTTTACAATCTATTTATTTGATGTCGTAACTACTAATAATTTAAAAAAAAATAGTTAAACATTACGTAGTTTTATCAGACCTCAGTTGCATCTCCCTTTAGACAGAGGTTGGCACTTCACAATACTCACTCGAAAAAAAGAATATAATTTTATGTTTGAATTTAGATAAATGTTTGTTCAGATTTTTTTTTTAACGGAGGGAGTGGCTTTAGCTTCACGTTCCAGCTCCTCTGTGCGTGCCCTCGACGCGAGTCCAGTCACCGGCGGGAGTATTCCTTCGCGCCACCGTTCGCCATGTCCCTTCTCATCTCCCTCGCTCCTCTTCCATGGTCGATTTCGCCAGATCTGAGAGAGATGCATGGTTTTTGGAATTTGATTTCATAAAAACGCACAACTTTATTCATACACGCTCTATTTATTTTGCCGACGCACAAAATCACAAGTTGACCGGACGAAGAAGCATCCAACCCTGCTTCGTCGATTATTTTTTATATCAAATACATCCTCCCGGCTCCCCGATCGCCACCACCGCTTTACCCCACTCTGCTGCTATTATATGTTAATAACAACTCGCACGCCAACTCTCGGCACCGCATCCTCACTCCTGCTCACCCACCGCCACCGCCTCCTCGCCGCCCGGACCCTCTCCGTCTCCGCCGCCGCCGGCTCCTCCTCCACCCCCGTCAAGGTAACCTGGCCTGGGAGGCTTGACTGCTTTCTCGTTTCTCCAAGCTAGCTTAGCTCCTGGCGTTACGGACTCTTGCTTGACGCTTGGATCCTTGCTCTGTTTTCCTCATGTGCGCGCGTCAGATGGCACGGTCAGCGCTGGACGAGGTCACCGACACCGGCGCTTTCGACAGGTCGCCGTCCACCTTCCGGAGCTCCATCTCCAGGGACGGCCGGTTCCCCGCCGTGGCGGGGCGGTACCACCTCTACGTCTCCTACGCGTGCCCCTGGGCGTCCCGGTGCCTCGCCTTCCTCAAGCTCAAGGGCCTCGACCACGCCATCGGCGTCACGGTAAGTCGGTAACCCTAGCCTCGCTCTCGCTCGCCGGCGACCCGGATCTCAGGCTTCGGAGTTCGCTCGGCCGTCGATTGATTTCATTTCCCCGGGAAGCGCGGAATTGTAGGCCGTGAAGCCCATCTTCGAGCGGACCAAGGAGACCGACGACCATCTGGGCTGGGTGTTCCCCGCCACCGCCGACGAGGAGCCTGGCGCCGAGCCGGACCTTCTCAACGGCGCCAGGAGCGTCAGGGAGCTCTACGAGATCGCCAGCACCAACTACGCCGGCAAGCCAACCGTCCCCGTGCGTGAGCCTCCGACTCCAAATCCAAATCCACCAAAGAAGCAGAGGATCTGTTCTCCTTTCCAGCACGCAGAACACAACAGCCGAGCTGATTCCACTGTTCTATTGCATTGCGTGCGTTGCAGGTCCTGTGGGACAAGCAGCTCAAGACGGTGGTGAACAACGAGAGCTCCGAGATCACCCGGATGCTCAACACCGAGTTCAACGACATCGCCGGGAACCCCGGGCTGGACCTCTACCCGGCGCACCTCCGGGCCTCCATCGACGAGGTCAATGAACTGGTCTACGACGCCATCAACAACGGCGTCTACAAGTGCGGATTCGCCAAGAAGCAAGGGCCATACGACGAGGTGCACTGCTGCAGCTGCACTGCATGCGCCTGTTACATACCGTCTCTGAGACTGGGATTGGTTAATTGGTTTGGTCAGATGATCAGACAGCATCTATCATGTGCTAATCGAACCTTGTCTTGTTGTTCAATGTGTCTAGGCTGTGGCCAGATTATATGAGGCTCTGGACAAATGTGAGGAGATACTTGGCAAGCAACGCTATATTTGTGGCAACCAGCTGACTGAGGCTGATATTCGCCTGTTTGTGACTCTCATTCGATTCGATGAGGTAAACTACTGAGATCTTGCAGATCAGTCATCAGAACACAAATCATTTGATTGTCGTTTTCTTTCTGCGAGATTTGTTCCTTTTCAGGCTGTCACTTGTCCTGTTTGTTCCATGCAAAATAACAGTTTGTTTGTTTATTAACTGATCGAGTATCAACACACTGTTTGGGGGGAATGAACTACAGTACACTCATTCAAGCACATACGTGAAGATTTCATCTTGATCCTCAATTTAGTGCAGATCTGATATGAACTCTGAGCATAAAGGGTTCTTTTATACCAATATTCAGAAAATATAAAACTAGGTAAAACGGTAAACCATTACTTGTTCTAGGCACATGAGCTGTGAGAACCTAGTAAGAGGTAATTATGCAAAGTCTTTATACAGTCATTTTCTGTACCATCAAACTCCCATTATACCGTATGTTTCATATGGAGTTCCCTTTTTTTTTCTTTTTCATTCGTGGTGATAAAATTAACATGTGACTGAATTAGAAATGCATTTCTTGGAACTTAATGTTCCTTGTACATAGATTTGACCTAGCCTATCAATCACAGGTCTATGCCGTCCACTTCAAATGCAACAAGAAGCTCCTGAGGGAATACCCAAACCTGTTCAACTACACCAAGGACATCTACCAGATCCCTGGCATTAGCAGCACTGTCAACATGGAGCACATCAGGAAGCACTACTACGGAAGCCATCCGTCTATAAACCCCTACGGGATTATCCCCGCTGGCCCCAACATCGACTACAATGCCCCACATGACAGAGAGAGGTTTGGCGCGTGATTGTCGTGATGGACCCTGTATCGTACGTGCTTGTTTCTGCAGGAGCCGTGTGCACTGTTGTGCTTCAGGGTCTTGTGCTTGGCAGTGCCAGAGGCAGCAAGTATCCCTAATAAAGTTAAAGTAATAATGCTATAATATATTTTTGTATTGTGTGTGTGTCTTGTTTGAGCAGCTGACGATGGACCACTTGTCCATTCGAGTCAAGTGATAAGGTTTATATCTCACCAAAAAAAAAATAAGGCTTGGTAATTTTATATGAAAAAAGCCCCGTTACCCCCGCACTTCATGTAAATTGCACCTTCGACAATTACCTATTAAGCAATTTTGTAGAAAAATCCTCAACGAGACCGCCAGATTTCTCAATATCTGCCACAGTAGCAACGAACGCTTCATAGGTCGTTTTTTTATTCGTTCAAACCAAGTTAAATAGATGGTCCACAGTGGTAAGTTAAATAGATGGTCCACCGTTAACATGGAGTACATAAAAAATGTAGTTTTGCTTTGAGCCTTCGGACCCCCTCCACACCCACGTGCATGCACGTGGGCCTAACAACTGCAGCAGGAGACTGCTACAAATGGGTCCCACTACACCATATGTAACACTAGATCTACTTTTACAATATAGAGGAAATATTTGCAACATATATCTGAAACAATTGAAACACTTGCAACATACGTCCGAAACACTTCCGAAACATAAAAAAAAAACTTGAAACCACGTGTGTAGCCATTGCAAATATTGCAAAAATCTAGATGAAAACACTTACAACATACGTATACGTATGAAAATATTTGAAACACTTGCATATATATGCAACATTCATATATACTTTTGCAACATCCAGATAAAACACTTGCAACATACGTCTGAAATAGATGAAATATTTAGAACCTACACTTGAGTCGTACGTGTATAGCCATTGCAACATGTGCAACATCCTGATTTACTTTTGTAACATCGATGTGAAACACTTGCAACACATCTCTGAAACATCTAGAACATTAAAAACATACGCTTGCAACATGTGCTTTCCAGCGCAATATCGCCTTGATGATTGGACGAATGGAGGCTCATCGGCCCCGTTCGCGTGCCCTTAAACCCGGCTTGATCCGCTTATTTTTTCATCCGAAACAGTGTTTTTCTCTCACAAATTTCTCCAGCATTCCTCCAAACCATCCAGAATTCTCCAAAATTCAGACAAGCGAACAGGCCCATCGTTGTGCAGCTCGACGCCGGTGTCAAGGCCGGCGGTGGAGCATTACCATTGAGCCTTGATTTATTTATTTATTTATCTATCGTTGGGCATATATTTATCTCCTAACTTTTTGGGCAATCAAGAAATCATTTTCATTGGGCACGGCCGCACACCCTTGTGTGCTTTTCGAGGTTTCCCTGCGGGATTAGATATGGGTGTGGACGGCCCCCTTGTGCCTTGGCACGCGGCAGGCCGAAACTATCGAGACCGACCGACGTCTCGGTACCATTGCCCATAATACATGGGGTCATGGAAGGTGGGTGACCACTGCCAGGGCCCAGGTCCAGCGTTCCAGCAAGATGCCTACGCGTAGCCTTTCCGTTGGAAAAGGACCACTTGAACTCCCTTCGGTTGCTAAAAAAAACTTAAACTCGTGTCAACTATGGCAGAACCGCCTAATCTAATGCCTCTCAGAAGTATTTGTCTTCCACTAGACACTAAGTACTTAAGAGAGGACACTAAACTACGCAGTTCTGTCGAGCACACTCCAAGGGAAAACTCGAAAATCCATATTTTCCATCAGGATCATAAACGAGAGAATAAAGCTTACAACATTCTTAAGTCATTTCTTACATCACTTTATTACAGCAACAGAATATTACCTCAATCGATTATAACAGCGGAATATAACAATGTTATCAGAGTTACAGGGGAAGCAAAGATTAATTTAATGACATGGTGGAGCATTAACATAGTGGACATTTTTATACAAGAGATGCTAGCAGATTTTACATCTTCTTTTATGAAAACCTTTAGTGAGGGTTATAAATAAACATCACGGTCGTAGTGTAAAAGGAATCCTCTCTAAGCCCATCAAGAGGTTTCCACACACAAGAGTCAGCTCTAAGTATCCTCCGATCACCTACAACAGGGGGAATAAAACCCTAAGTATTCGATTGTACGCTCTACTGACGGTTGAAGCAGGGGAGCGCTGCAACGGTATGGCCACGTGCGAGCCACCGGGGCGGCGGTGCTCCGGGATGGACACCCACGCGTCACCATGTCGTCGATGAGTTCCCTGGCCAAAATAGCGCGAGCACCGAATGGAGGGAGTCAAGGCGAGTTCAGTGTTACGAGCAATTGAACTGTTACCACTCCTACGGACCTTACCCCCAACCCTATGGTCACAGCGGCGCACATGACCGGCAGCGAGCAAAATCCGAAATTGGCCATGCCAGACCACCGCTGGACCCGACGAGAGTGGGGCGTGTAGCTAACTTCCTCTGCTTCTCACTAACGCAAGGAATTGAGCTGGGAAGCTTGAGTTGGTGATTATGAAGGATAGAGGGCGACGCATCGCCCCTGCTACATCACGCGACACGGCCCCATCATATGTGACCCGACCACGACCCGAGCAGGGCTCACCGGCATCGGTTAGCGGGACACGGCGAGGCAGCGAAACATCCATCGCCGCCGCGTCCGGCCCTCGACTTGTCACGTCGGCAAGGTTCCAGCTTAAAGACTAGGCAGGGTAGGTAGGACGAGGGGTGGGGCGAGCACCGCGTCGATCGCGCGATGCAGCCGCAACCACGGCGCGGCCCAGCGACCAGCCATACGAGCGCGGTGCACGTGCAGCAGTGGGACTAGCCGCAGCCAGCTGGGACCGGCCAACGCTAGGCCGTAGGTGCTGTGCGACATCACCTGGGCGCGCGAGCTAGCAAGCGGCAGCAGCTCGACCACAGCCTGAGCCCGGCGCCAGCAACGCGCACGCGCGCGGTGACCGTGAACTTGGGCGGAGAGGTAGCAACTAGTGACGTGCACGCATTTTAAAGCAAAGTAAAAGCTGCTAACGATCACGGTCGAGATTCAACTAATTTCCCTAACCTAAAGTCGATACTAACACCCAACTGACGGAGCAAACCTCACGTCCAGAAAGCGACCAGAGAGGGAGATAGGGAGGTGCCAACATGAGTTCGTCACGCTGAACGCCGGTTCGCGAACCGAACACCAAATCATGGTTCATAACGCGTTTTAAGGAGGTTTGGACAATTTTTACGAGAGCAACGTGACACCCAACACAACAACCATCTATGACATGCTCAAGTACTCACTTTGATGCAATCAACAATATCAAAACATGCAGCTAGTGTTTAAACATTTTAGCTAGAATTTAAATGTCAATATAGCATTGTCTTACTACTGTTTCCATACTTAGAAAAGTTAAGGTTCGATTCGACAGCCATTAACACTTTTGTTACAATTTTTAAAAAGGCCTAAACCCTATTAACCGCTACCAACAAGTATTTTATGCAATAGTCCATACTTCATATGAACCCATAGGAACGAAATACTTAAGCACTATTTAACTATTTTGCTCAATATAATTGGCTAAAAATGGCATTTTAAATATAAGTTCAAATTCTTGCCGATTCAACAAAAGGTTGATTTTTAGTTTTAGATTTGATTTTTGAGCTCTCAAGAATACTAGTTAACAACATTTGTTTTCACAAATTAAAGTTGCATCTTCAACTACACCACTTGCTCGTCATCTTTACTTAAGTATTACGCACAAGTTATATTTTATTTTTATTTATATAAATTATTTTTTGTGCTAAACAATTAAAACAACTTATCCCATGTTTCTCGTTAGGATTTTTATTAGCACTTTTACGCACCAAGTAAGTTAACTTGGATATTTATTTGAGTCCACAAAAGTGAGTCACATAGGATTTGTTTATCATTTCACGTGCGTTATAAATTTTTAAAACCCGAAAACTTGTTTGGCTAATTACTCTCGGTCCTAAATCTTAGTGCTAAACAAGCTCGTAACACCGAGGGTGTTACATCAACGATGTAGAAAATGTACTATCTATATGGCTTTGGAAAACTTCCAATGAGATAATTTTTACCCCATCTCTGTACTTTGTATTTAAGCTTTGAATGATTTTTTTTAAAAAAAAACTTTCTGAGCTAGAAGCCATAATACACACTATGTTTTTGGAATCTAGCGTACTAAACCCGTCCAAACTACCTACTTGCTCATGGTCCCGTTTGGCTTATCTTAAAATCGGCTTGTTTGACTTTTTTTTTTTCAACCGGAACAGTGTTTTTCTCTCGCAACAATTCAGCTAGAACAATGTTTTCAGCCAGTTTCAGCTAAGTTTCAGCAAGCCAAACGGAGCCACATGTGCTTTTCGTGTATGCGTAGACCTACGATGATGGTGGCGAACAAGGAAGTGATCATGCCGATCCGTTTGTTGGCGGCTAAGTCGTAGACGTCGGCTCGGGAGTCTCAAAAGCCATTGCCGATGCACGTCATTGTCATGACATCCCTTGGATAAGAAAGTGCGCTACAAAGTTAAACAATATGATACATGTTGTTTTTCTGCTATCAGAACTTGGATTATATTTTTAATTGGTTTTTTCGTGCATGTCTTGATGGTTAAGCAACACATTGTTGTTGAGGAACTTTGTTTGTAGTTTGCACGATGATTCACACTTCGTTCTGCAAGGATTTGTCCTGGCTTGCATCCTCTCCACATTTAGATTTTAGGAGAACATATAAAATTCAAATAATTCTAAACCAGGAACAAAAACTAAGACCATGATTTTATTAAAAATATATATAACTTTTTCGAGTTAAAACAAAATTTCTATGAATTTTCTAAGGTCAGGTTAGATTTTAGTATTTCAAATTGTATATTTCTTTTTAAAAATATTTGAATAATTTTTTTCGAAAAATATTTCTATAGTTTTTTATAAAGTTTAGTTGACATCCTAAGCTATCATAAAATCTGTTTTACTTCCTCATGGTTAACGTGACGTCATGTCAGTTAAAACCGCTTTTAAAACTGTCCAGTGAATAAATCTAATGGTTTCAAAAGTTAAGGGAGTCTAAAGTTCTGATTTTGTAAAACCGAGGAAGGCAAACTAGACTTACCTAATGGCTCCGTTCGGCTCGCTGAATCTTGGCTGAAATTGACTGAAAAACACTGTTCTGGCTAAAATGTTGTGAAAGAAAAACATTGTTTCGACTGAAAAAAGGAAGCCAAATAAGTTAGATATGGGGTAAGCGGAACGGAGCCATTGTATGCATGGGCTTCATGGGCACCGTGGGGGTGGTGGCCCGTGGGCAGCGATGGCGCCGTGACGGACGGTGACGCCACCTGGCCCGACGGCGATGAAGATAGGGCAAAAGGAAATTGCTAGTAACGTCGATGTCGTAGTGTAGTGCTTGACAAAAGCGCTCGCAATCGCAGTTGAGAATTGAGAGGAGGTTAGGATTGGGACGGGATCTACATATAAATTATAGACTTATGGCTCGTTCGGTTCAACTGGATTCGGACGGAACCATTTCTGTTGACCGAAACTTATTCAAATTACATGATGAATCCGGACTGGAATATTTTAGTTAGATCTGGTTCGTGTTATTTTTAATATTTTAGTATGTTTAGTTACAACGAAAAAGAAAGCTGCAAGGGCACCCAGGTCACCGTCAGAAGATTAGGCGGGCCCCGTGCAGGAATGCGCGATCAAAAGAAAGCTATCATAAAAGTCGCCATGACTGACTGACCATCTTTTCTTGTTGCCGATTGGCAAAACACATGGGCGGACTTGTTTCTCGGCCCAGATCGGATCCTAATAATCCGGTGAACTAATCGTCAGGTCAGTATTAGTCTACAGTACACTCTACAGCAGGGGAGTTGGGGTGGGACTTGGGAGGGGCAAGTCGGTCAGAGCAGCCGGCGAGACACGTGTGGGCGCGCGGCCAATGAGCGGCCGCCACGGCGGCACTCGCCGGTGCCCGATGGTATCCGGGCCGGAATATATTCCGCCGAGGCTCCCGTCGTCGCGGAGCAGGACAGCGTAGGGCCGTCGGTCGGTCACATCATCGGCGTCTGACTTCCAAGGGTGAAGGGATCACGCACGAAAAAAAAAGAAAAAAAGAAATCGCAAACAAGACAAGTCCAGCGCACGCCATGCGACCCACGCTGCTTCCTTGCTTATCGCGACTGTATGTGTTGTTTTGTAACAACCACAGCAAGAATATGAAGATATTGGAGTCTCTCTCTACTCTTCTCCTCTATATAATTATAGGGATCACGACCGACCAGCTGCATCGCCAGCGCAAAAATTCTGATCCTCCACACCACCACCCGCCGCCGCCGCCGCCGCCTCCTCTTCGCTTGAGCACCTGCTGCGGTGCGGATCGGTCGAGGAGGAGGAGGAGCGAGGAGTTGAAGGACATGGCGAGCGCGGCTGGAGGCGGAGCGGCGGGGGAAGGGGAGTGGCTCAAGGTCGCCCAGCTCAGGGCCATGGTGGAAGCGCAGGACCCCCGCGCCAAGGTGAGCTGCTCATCGATCCACCCACCCACCCACCCAGTTTTAATAACCTGCTCCATTGCTCAATCGCCTGTTGCAGCCTGTCGTCGTCTCTCTCAGTCTCTCGCTCAACCTGCAACGGTGCTGATGCAATATGCATCATCACTGCTCGTTCTTTTCTTGTTCTGCACTGTTCTTCTTCTTCTTCCCGGCTTTGGAAGCAGTGTTTCTTTTTAGCATTATTAACATAATACTACATTAATTCTACTTTTGCCATCAATTAAACAAGAGTAGTGTTCTGCACTGTACCGAGCTTGATGACGGTCTTGTCGTCGTCCTAGAAGAAATCACCACTACAGAGTAGTGTGGTTTGAATTTACATTACTTGATTAATTTTCCGTGAAACTAATAAATTTCTAATCAGATTTCCCTTCAAATAAATTCCTAATTAAAACAAAACTTTCAGTGTATAATAAAGTCAGTAGTAACAAAGGCATGCAGTAACAGCGTCACATGTTTGGTACTTGTCTATGAGATAACGGCATGGGTATAAATTAAGTTATCTTGTAGGATTCGTCAAAAGATGAAGTGTTCAAACAATCTAGTCACAGAATGGAACAATTACAGGTGAACAGTCGTGGCATGCACTTGGGCACCCATCCATGAATATAAAATGCTTTACGCGCCAAGCATGGCGGCTATACTATTCTACTACTACAGAATATTGCAGATTTGCAATAGTAAAATAGCCTCAAAGCCGGAGGAGGCATCATGTTGAAAAAGAAAGTTCATAACAGACACGGACATGCCAACCATTCTGCCCATCATTCTCTTTAATTTGCCTCTAAATTAATTAAACATTCAATCCTCTGTCGGTGAAAGGATCGGTATCGCAGGCAAGGCAAGGACCTCAATTCTTTTAAAAGCAAACAAACAGTAAGATCCATCCATGCACATGTCAGTTGTCACTAGTAATTTCTCTAGATTACATTTCTTCTCCAAAAAGCCCTTTCAGAAATCGCTGTCATTCAGAAACTGATTGGAGTAATCAAGCTGCCATTTTTTTTTCGCGTCGCGCCACGCGTGCAGGAGGTGGACAACCTGACGCTGCGGAGGTTCCTGCGCGCGCGCGACCACGACGTGGACAAGGCCTCCGCCATGTTCCTCAAGTTCCTCAAGTGGCGGAGGGAGGCGGCGCCCGGCGGCTCCGTGCCGGAGGAGCGGGTGAGGAGGGAGCTGGCGCAGGACAAGGTGTGCATGGGCGGCGTCGACAGGGCCGGCCGCCCCATCCTCGTCGCCTTCCCCTCCAGGCACTTCTCCGCCGGCCGTGACATGGCGGAGTTCAAGAGTACGTACGCACTCGTGGTCACCATGCTGGACTGCTGCTCCATAGTCCATCCATGGCTCCCTCCTTGGTCCTTGCTAATAACATTTGTGACACCAAATAAACCTGGCGTCGACCTGAACCGTACGTTCCTGAGCGCAGTTTGCTGTTCTTGTGCAGGTTTTGTTGTCTACTTCTTCGACAAGATCTGTGCCAGGTAATCATTCATCAGTTCTGAAGTCCATCTAGCTCTAGCTGCAGGTTCTTCTCAGCTTCTGGTTAATTCTGCCACGCACTGCAAAACATCGTCTCTAATTCATCACGTGGACAAATGCAGAATCCCCAGAGGGCAGGAGAAATTCCTCTGCATCGTTGATCTCAAGGGCTGGGGGTACTCAAACTGGGACATCCGGGCATACATTGCGGCTATAGAGATCATGCAGGTATGTTCATCCATCAGTTATACTATTTCCGGCTTTCCGCCTTCAGTAAATGTATGTAAAACCACACAAAAGTTTCCTTTCCTTTGGCACAACACAAAATTCGTTCTCTGATTCTCCTGCCGCCTCGTGCAGAACTACTACCCGGAGCGGCTCGGCAAGGCGCTGATGATCCACGTGCCCTACATCTTCATGAAGGCGTGGAAGATGATCTACCCCTTCATCGACACCAACACCAGGGACAAGGTGACGTACCGTAGCCCCATGTCGATGATCTCCGATCCGAACCCCAGCTGCTGGGTGCATTGCATGCTCTGGGAGATGAGGAAATGCTAGTGCTAGTGTAGATTGGTTGATCCATAGCTATCGCTTCATCCTCGATCGATCGTCTCCTGACTGACTGTTTTGCGCGATACGATTTGTTATTCGCAGTTCGTGTTCGTGGAGGACAAGAGCCTGCAGGAGACGCTGCGGCGGGAGATCGACGAGGGCCAGCTCCCGGAGTTCCTCGGCGGGAAGATGGACGTGATCCCTCTCAAGGACTATGGCGTGCAGGTGCAGCATCCTCAGGCCGTGTGACCGTACGTGTTGGTGGCTAGCTAGGAACACAGCATGGCCATGACCATGGTTGTTATTATATATGACAGAGATGTATCTGTTGCTTCCACAGTAACTGTGTAGCTGCTGTAAAACAAAGCTCTGTCTGCTTGCGTTGTTTAACGAGCTGCTGCTGTTGCCCGGGTCAATTGATGCAGACCAAGATCTGGGCTACTATGTAAACATGAACAGGAAGGCACCACCTACCAAGCCCAACACGACTGTTCTCTCCCGTTTCCGTTATCCTTTTCAGCCCAGTGAAGTCAGTCTGAACTCTGAAGCAGCTTTTGGGCAAAAAAACATACGTTTCCTTCCTGTATAAACCTACTGACATATCTAAAAAGTAACCATTCCCTGCGTCCTGGCCGTCCTAGCTCAGTGGTAGAGCGCGTGGCTTTTAACCACGTGGTCGTGGGTTCGATCCCCACGGACGGCGCCTTCGTTTTTTTATTTTTTTGCCTTTTGTACACTCTCTTCCAAAGTTTCAACTCTCAAGCAGGCTTGTAATTTTTAACAAACGTGAATTTACGGCTTGTAACTAGCCATCAACAACATGACATTATGTCACCAACTCAAGACTGTAATTTTTTTTATATAAAAAAAAGAACAACTCAAGATTGTAACGTATTTAACGCTTTGCTAGCCCTGAGAACATTGTAGAGCGGGAAAAGAACATTTCTTGTTGTTATAAAAAACATTGTTTCTCAATCTTAGAAAATATTTTATTGAGGACATTAGTAAATATTTTCTCATTGTGGAAAAAAACATTATTTCTCAAACCTAGAAAATATACTTGATGTGCTAGTCATTGCTACTCAACATCATGGATAGAGCAAAATACGTCGACCGACCTTTGTACTTGGCAATGTATGTCATCTAGATCTCTAAACTTATAAAATGCACATCTGTGTATAGAAATTTGATCTGTGTTGCGTCTGGATCCAAATAGATCTTGACGACTTGACTTGACCCCACCTATTTGCCGACATGGCATCCATGCTAACAGGTAGCAGCTGCCTCGTCCGTGTGCCCTCGCGACTGGGGACTGCGCGACAGGACTGACCCCGACCCCGCCGCCGCCGTGGCTGATACCTATCTGCCCTATCCGATAGGGCCCAGACCAACAAGTAGTACCGCCCTCTGCCCCCGACGCCCGCACGCCCTAGGCCCATAGCCCTCGACGCGCCGCTTACAGGCTTGCAGCGCACACACACGCAACGCAAAGAGGGAGCCTCGTCTCTGCTCGCCGGCCACCGGCGACGAGCCTCCTCATCCGTCCCCGCGACGAGCCTCCGGCTCCGCTCGCAGGCCACCGGCGACGATCTACGCCCCCACGACGTGGATCCGGCGACCACTTGTGAGTTCATCCCCTTCCCCATTCTTGATCAAGTTGTTGACTTATTGTTACTTGATTTCGTTGTTCCCCACTTCCCCTTCCCCTTCCCCTTCCCATCCTCTATCTACTCTAATTCTGCAGTTCTTGGTTTCTTGTTCCTTGATTTTCTTTGTTCCCAACTTTCCTGTACTGATTAGTGTTGGCTATGCTGTACTGATTAGTGTTGACTATGTATGCAATAGATGGCGTATCCAAATATGAGAATTATACAAATGAGGAAGAACAAACTTATGCGATGGATGCCTTTTGTTAATTGCCTAAATTTGAGACTGCTATATTTAAGAATTTGAGACCTGTTGTGCTGTAATAGAACTTAAATAGTTAAGTACATTGCAATGTTTTATTGTTATCAATTTGAATATGCGTTATTACCTTTTTTTAAGTAAAATGTATACATTATTGTTTTTTTAAATTGTTGTATCCGTGTATCCTTGTCCTTCCAATAGGGATACGGTATCCGTATCTGTGCTGCATAGCAATCAAATATTCTATCAATTTTATTACAGAGAGTTAAATATATCTATTGTTCTTATTTTTGCTACTTGTATTTTTTTAGGACTTTATATTTAACTCACCTGATGCAAAAACTCAGTTTAGGTGTTATCTCTTAATACGTGATCATGTGATATAGGATGTTCAAATTTATCATTGTTTTCTTTTTCTTCTCATATTTCTGTACTTACAGTGCTGCTCAATTTCTAATATCTTTAGCTCAGTTCTACTAATAACTTATTTCTTTATTTACCTATTTTGACATTTCCTTCTTTCTTTTTTTTGTCAAAAGATGGATGACACTAGGAGTGCATCAATCAGTTTGTGGTCAAGACAACAAAAGTTGTGCAATGATTAAAAAAGTGTTGTTTATGTGGTGTTGATACAAACTGAAGGTGGAATTGGATCAGGGACAGGTGTCTGTGTTGATCCAAATGGGATGTATGGGATATTGCAATTCTATGTCTTGAGGAGGAATTAAAGAAAAAGGACACCATCCCTAATGATTATTCGGTGATACAGTTGGCAAAAGATGGAAACTTAAACCCCGGTCAAGCTGTATATTCTATTTCACATCAGCATAGCCTTATGTATTCTTTTTCCAGTGGTAAGATCAGTTATCCGTGCAAAGACGATGTGATTTCATTTGACAACTCCGATACTTCTCCCACTCTTACTCACTCACTCCCTACACTAGTACTAGCTATGAGCTAAAAATAGGAATGAGGCTCTTCTCTTCTTGTCACATTGTGCTCTCTTGTGTTGTGTGTTGTGTTGTGTGGACGAGGCATCCACATCTATTTATAGGAGTGGAATGGTCGGTTGGAGATGGAATATTTGGGGGATCCACATGCAACCGCCTTGGGGGAGCCACCGGGAGACGCCACGTGGAAGGAGGAGGCGGTCGGTGCATGCAGGGGTGCCGGCGCACCATGGGTGCGGCCGCACCTAGGTGTTGCCTCCCCGCGACCGCCTTCCACATGGCGGTTGCATGTTGGGCCTGGACTCCTCCTCTATGGGTTTGGGGCCCAGGTTTGCAAGGTAAGTGGGCCTTCCTTCTGTTTGTTTGTGTAGAGTCTGCGTTTATGTTTTCCTGGTTGCGCACTTTGACTCTTTTTCATGTATTCCAAGTGTGTATCCTGCAAATGATCAACTTATCAAAACTCATGGAATTCGTTAGTATAAACCCTATTTACTATGTTTTGGTGTTTGTATGGATTTTAAGTAAAGTTGGCGGGTGAAAATATGAGTTAAGCACCGCCAACAAGCTCCCCCACATTTAGTTCTTTGATCGTCCTCGAGTAAAGTTCTAAGGACTAAGATGGTTTATCTCCTTGATTCTAAAATCCGCATACAAGTTATTCCAATCCTCACCTGAACCTGTGACCTTCTGAGTGTCTACCATAAAATCTTGAGTGATTGGATAATGGGACAGTAAGGATTCAAATCTTCCTACTCTACTCTTGCTTAGAAACTTGGATTTTGTTTGATTTTAAAAAATATAAATTTTAGCTTTGCTCCTCAAAATAATTCTCTCCAGTCACTCATATCGGTTATTGTTGGTTCCTCACTTTAGGCAAAAGATGTTGCCTTTACTTCCTACCTCTAGTAAAGTTTATGTGGAGCTCAAGGTAGGGCAAAGTGTGGCATACTTACCTTGCACATGTTGCGAAGCCAAAATCCAAATCTAAGGAGAAATAAGTCATATAATCCGATCAACAGGTGCAAGTGTGTGGTATTTTATGATTTTTGTGGAAGAAATACTCCTTTTATTGTTTTTGACCTTTCTTTCTTCACCATTGGTTTCTTTTCTAGAGGTCATGACAATCTTTTGATTCTTATTATTTTTCTTTCTTTCTTTAAGTCCATTTTCTTTGGACTACTTTGAGTCCTATTTATTTTGGGCTTTTTTTTCTTTGTCCATTTTTTCCTTTTCTTTTTTTTCATTGCCATGCCTCTTTTTTTATAAAACCTTGGTGAAATGAGATCGGAAATTTTCATGGAGCTTTCTTTGTTGTGGGTGGATGGATGGAATTTTGTGCTAACTTCCAGTGTAGAAGCTTAGCTTTATTTTATGGGTGGCGTGTACGTGCTCTTGAATCAAGAAAGCATGAAATATTTCTTCACAAAGTATCATGACATTTTGACAAAGTTTAGTACAAGAATAAGTAGCATGTGAACAAGGTTTGAAAGGAATTCATCTTTTGGCCATGGTAGGTATTTAAATATCATCCGAGGAGCATGCTATTTGAGTTTTTGATTTTGTAAATAAATCCCAAGTACTTTGCAAAAGTGAGCAAGTTTCATTTCCATCCTACTATATCTCATATTCTAATCACTTAGATAAAATGGATTCCCTATGATAAGTTGTTCACAAGTGTAGGAATATTGGCAATGAATAAAGAGTATGCAAACTTTTAATCATAGAATGACATGGAGACGGAGCATTTGTTTGATTTGTAAAATTTTAATTTGTTCTCTTTTAACCTTTATTTAGATGTAGGGAGTGAGGATGCACAAACCGAGTTTGGAACTGTTAATCTCTTGTGCATCATTTTTGGGGAGGTTTTTGAATGCTTGTGTGGATCATCTCCCCCATACTTGTGTTTGTACCTGCTTTTTATTCAAAGAAACGAAAAATAAAACAAGCAAGGGCTCTCCCGACTTGAACACCGGAGAGCCTAAATCTTATTATTATTACTAGTAGTAGTAGTAATTATTTTTTTTGTATTTATTTATTTATTTATTTGTTCACCCAACTTTTTATCTTTAAACATAACTCAAGCAAGGCTAAGGCAAAGATGAAGTGTAAACATAGCTATACTTGAGCAAAATGAGCCCGGCCTGTGGCCCCAGCCCAAGCCCGATGGGTTTTAGCCCACCCATGAACCTTACTGGACAGGGCCTAGGCAGATATCCCACTGCCCAGAAAATTTTTTCTTGGCCCGAGCCCAGTCCAAAACGCTGCTTTTTGCTATTTTACACTATGAAATATGCGGGCAGCCCGCCCAGGCCCGGGCCTGGTCCGAAAAATTAGGCACGACTTGCCCAGTGAGACAGTCATGGGTGGGACTTTTTCGGCCCAAAATAACCG